AGCTGCTCATATTCATGTACTATCGGCAAGGATTTGCCAATGCCTTCTATAGTGGCTTTGTGCATTGTTTTGAGGAAATGTATTGAGAGCTGGGGCACACATTGGCCAGGAGGTGGTAGCTACAGGTGATGTATCCCATGGAATTCATGGGTGGGTCTCTTGGTGAAGTCTGTAAGCCAGTTACAGGGATCTGTGGGCAGTTTTTGAGATCCATGTGTCATTTGCTGTGAGCCCTGCCCCTTTTCCTTGCTCTTTGCCCTACTCTTCTCAGACTGTTCAGTTGTGCCTGTCTCCTCAGTAATCTGAGTAGGGCAAGACAGTAAGTGACCCCATTGGACAGCATTCTGCAAGGCTAGTGAGGCCAAGTGCCTGATATGGTTTGGCTTTGTGTCTCCACCCAAATCTCATCTTGAATTGTAATTCCATAATCCTCACATGTCAAGGGAGGGACCTAGTGGGGAGGTAATTGAATCATGGGGAAGTTTCCCCCTCTGCTGTTCTCATGACAGTGAGTGAGTTATCATGAGATCTGATGGTTGAATAAGGGACTTCTCCCTTCACTTGGCCTTCATTCGCTCTCCTGCCACCTTGTGAAGAAGTACTTTCCGCCATGATTGTAAGTTTCCTGAGGCCTTCCCAGCCATGTGGAACTGTGAGTTAATTAAACCTCTTTCCTTTATAAATTACCCAGATTCAGGTATGTCCTTATAGGAATATAAGAACAGGCTAATACAGTACCCACTCTGTTTATACTTTCCTCATAAGACAAACCATTGGCCAAGGGGGTCTCTCTTGAGCTGTGCCACCTTGCAGTAGAGGTGACACAGATAAAGTAAAATTACTCTTCTTACTCATTCAGTGTGTTTATTTTCACATTATTTGCTAGGATAGGGTTAGGGACTCTCTCCACTGGAACCCCAGGTTCTCAGAGAAATATTCCTGTCTTTGGATAGTTATCAAAATTAATATTTCTGTGGCAATATAATGAGTGTAAGCTCCAATATTGCCATCTTACTATTATTGGTTCAAAAATTTTTGATAGTCTTGGAATAGCATGATGTGAGTAAAATCCATGTTTCAGGCATAAAGTTCAAAAGGGTGTACAAAATTCAGTAATCAACTTAAAGAACATTTTAATGCAATATTTAAAAAATCAAATTGGCAAACTATGGCTTGCAGGTCAGCTGCCTGTATTTGTCAATAAATTTTTATTGAAACCAGGCATGGGATTAGGGTAATGTGAGTGAGGCAGAGTCATCCAAGTGGTAGATCTCATGTTTATTTAGAATTGTGATACCTTGCTCTTGTACCCACAAAAATAAAAAAAAAAATTCTAAATTTAAAAAATTATTATTCATGTATTGATAGATTTCTGCATTCAAACATAACATGTTAAAGGAATAGGGGTGTGTGCATGTGTGTGTACATATATATACACACATATATAGAGAATATATATTATAGAAATATATTTTCCTATAATAGTTTCTAATTACTAATTATAGTGATGTGTGTATGTATATATGAAGTATGTATTATAGGAAAAGTATGTATGTATTTTCACACATACACAGTAATACAGAGAAAATAGGATCTATAAGTTTTTCCTTCAATGATTTCTATGTCAATGTAAAAAAATTTGGAAAGGACCAGAAAAATGTAACTATTTAAAAGAAAATAGTGTTTTATATTTATCCTACTATTAATGCTCACTTTAGATATGTACTTAGTTGATTAGTCTGAATATTTTTCTGAGGATGCCCTATTTCAGTATTTTCACACTCTTTTGACTCCACTATTACATGTGTTGACCTTTTATTTGCAACAGACTCCTCTAAGGATGCAGCATAATGCTATAATATAGTGGAGGAATGATGTTGTAGAGTGCATTCCTATAAAGTGTGGCAGAATTGATTGGCTTATGATCTAGGAATATGAAGTTTGAGTCTTAGGAAACTAGACAGTTCAAATTTGCTCTGATCTCTATGAAGCGGGGACTTTTTTTTTCTCCCACATCTCTTGTACTGCTAGGCTTCAAGGTAAGGTGGTGTCTTCCTCATTTCTTTTTCCCATATTTCTCCTTAACATTTCCCTGTCTTTGAAAATCCTGCCATGAAATTATCTATACTTCCTTCCTTGCTGCAATCACTTACAGAATGCACTCATTCCTTTAGTATTTTTAACTTTGCCTCATTGTCATTCTTACCAACACCACTTCCCATCATACTTCTTAGGGATCTCAATAACCACATGGATGACACTTGTTGACATTGAGCTTCTTGACCTCTTCTTTGTTAATCTATTCCGCCACCTTATGTGAGACATTTGTTTTCAAGGTTCTATCAATTACTACACTCCTTCCATAATCTCAACTTTAAGTGTTCTACTTTGTGACTACCTTCTATTTTTCTAGCTAGTAAGCTGACTCCAAAACAAACTCAACTGATTCAATCATGTGTTCACTGTCCTCCCTTATCTGATTTTGTATTCTTATTTTCCTCCTTAAACAGCTTAGATTCCATGGTTTGTAATTATAAACATTACTTTGCATATGCCCGCATTTCCCTTGTCTCTCTCTCTTTTAGGAATCAGGATTTAAACCCAATCAGACTAATTCCAGTGTTCGAGCTCTAATCACTGCAGTATACATATATTATCTCATTTGAGTCTTACAACACACCTGTAAAAATAAATAAGAAAACAGGAGCTTGGGGAAGTTAAGTAAGTCTTCCAGGAACACACAGCTTATAAGTGGTGAAGCAGTATTTAAACTCTGCCTGCTTTGTGCCTACATCTCAGCAGCTAAACTGAGGGCAAATGTATACTAACTCATTACACTTTTAAATTCATGACCATTTCCACTAGACTTACAGTGCTGTCAGGCAGACCTATATTTCCTTAGTCTGTTTCATTTTTCCCAATACTTCTACCCTCTTCTCAATCATCAAACTCTCCCTAGTACTTAATCTCTTTGATAATCTTGATTTATATTTCACTGAAGTTATAGAAACAATCTGAAAATATTGTTTCCCAGTGTCCCACCACATCTACCATCCCATCTGCATGGAGACCTACCCATATACTTCACCTTCCCTCTCCTTAATGTAAATCAGCTAACTGTGCTCCTATGCAACCCCTCCAATGTTCACAGAACCTCATCTAGGTGATTTTCCTAAAAAAAAAAAAAAAAGGCTCTCTTTTTTTAATTACATGCCCCTCTCCAGTTTCTTCTCCATTTCTCTTCTCTCTTTCTTTACAACATAAGCCTTCAAAAGAGCTATCAATATACACTGTATCTAGGTCTTCTCCTCCGATTTTCTCCTGTTCCCATAGCAATAGAATTTTAGCTCAACCGCTCCACCAAGAGTAGCTGTTATTTAAGTGTACCAATGTTTTCCATTTTGCTACGTCCATGGATCTTTGGTCCTCATCTGGTTTGCACAATTATGCCTTCTTTTTAAAATAATTCCTTCACATGACTGCAAAAACATCACTTTCTCTTAGCTCTATTTCTACTTCTCTGACCACTTTTAAATATCACAGTCTTTGAAATCTCTTGCATTATACCTCTTTACCTACACTTTCTCTTTTACCTGTATGATTCAGTCTCAAGGCTTGTAGACTCCATTCTTCTTACTGTTCCAGCCAAAGTGTTTGCTGTCGTCTTTCTTACACACATGGAAACCAATTTATATGGAGATCCTCTTGTCTCTACTTTAATCATATAATAAAAATCTAGAATTCTGCCACCTTTTCTTTCACTACTACCACTCTTACCAAAGTCATTATAATCTCCTGCCTGGATTGTTATTATGACCTCCCACCTGTTCTCCCTGTCTTTGCCTTTTGTTTCTCTACAAATTATTTTCAACATCACAGCCATGTAAATTGTCTATGTAAAATCCTCCAGTGGTTTTCCATGAGATTCCAAGTAAAACCCAAAGCCCTATTATCTAAGGCTGTTTCTGAACTGTAATATCATGCCTTAGACTGAGTAGTTTGTAAATAATATAAATCTATTTTTTACAATTTTGGAGGCTGGGAAATCCAAGATCAAGCTGCAAGCAGATTTGGTGGTCTAGTGAGGGCTCTTCCCTGCCTTTTTTTTTTTTTTTTTTTTTTTTTTTTTTGGAGACAGTTTCGCTCTTTTGGCCAGGCTAGGGTGCAGTGGCACAATCTCGGCTCACTGCAGCCTCCACCTCCAGGGCTCAAGCAATTCTCCTGCCTCAGCCTACCGAGTAGCTGGGATTACAGGTATGTGCCACTATGTCTGGTTGATTTTTGTATTTTTAATACAGATGGGGTTTCACCATATTGGCCAGGTGTCGAACTCTTGACCTGGTCTCGAACTCCCGACCTCAGGTAATCTACCCGCCTCACCCTCTCAAAGTGCCCTGCTTTTAATATGGTGCCTTGTTGCTGTGTCCTTACACGGCCAAAAAGCAGATGGGGCAAAAGGACCTAGCTAGTTCCCTTCAGTACTTTTATAAGGTTACTAATCCCATTCATGAAGGCTCCACCCTCATGACTTAATTGCCTCCGAAGTCCTCACCTCTTAATACAGTTACATTGAGGTTTAAGTTCCAACATATGAATTTTGCGGGGGCACATACATTCAAATCATAGCACCTATGAAGCCCCATAATAACTGGTAAGTGCAAAATAATTCTCTGTCTTTATGTTCTATTATCTCATCCCTTATTCACTCTGCTCCACACTGGTCTCCTTGTTGTTTCTTGAGCACATCAAGAACGCTTTTGCCTCATAGCCTTTGCCCAGGCTTTTGCTTTGACCTATATCTTTTATTTATTTATTATATTAAACAACCACATGGCTTATTCCCATATAACTGTTATTTTCTGGGAAATGTCATTTTATCAGTGAGACCTTCCTTGTCTACACTCTATATAATAGACTTGCCACCATAGTTTTAAAATTTGTAGTACTTGTCAACATACTAAATACTTATAACTTTTTAAAACCTTTGGCCACTAGTAGATATAAAATTCATGTAAACAAGAATTGTTTTGAGGTTCATTGCTGTTTCTACAACATGTAGACCTATGTCTAAAACAGAAAGGTACTTAACAAACATCTGTTCAATAAATGAATGAATGAAGGACCCTGGAAAAATCTCTTGTATCAGAAAACCTAATTTAAAAATAAAAGTAATGAATTTATTTTCATGGCAAAACTTTCAGCATGGCTAGAGAAAATATAGAAATAGTGATTATACAGAGTTCAAAGAGCACTGTTTGAGTCTTCACAGCCAAGTGCCATGAAGACCATACAGATGAGAGGTTACCAGAGACTGTTTATAAATACTACCTGTAGGAAGCTTACAATTGAGTAAAGGCAGCAGTGCACTGAAGGGAGAAGAACATATACAAATATGACCTAGACTATAATCCTATAATGAGAGAAGTCAGACTAAATGCTGTGATTTCATTCTTTAGAAAACTGGATCTCATAACATGTGACATGATGAAGTGACTTTTGTTTACGCACCAGAGTTGAAAAAAAAGTCCATGACATTTGGGTCATATTTTGAATATCAATTAAATGATCTAGAAGATTGACATGAAAATACAAATTTATAAAAATCCATTATTAGGTGAGTAAAAGCTTGTATAACAAACATTATCACATAAACTCATGTAGACCATTAAGAGAGAGGCTTTCAAAACTGCTGTATTTTCACTTGACTAGTGTTATTCCCATTTTCATTATTTTTGCCCCAAATTTTTTATATAAACATTTTTACAAATTTATACTTAAATTTGCATGATACTTTAGAGAGTTTCATTCTTCCCAGAGTCCCAAGATGCCTCGCAGGGTGTCATTCGTGATCTTTCTTTTTGTATCTCATCACTACTCTCTTGGGTTTAACTATAAAGTTGTCCTTTATGTCCTAAATCACTTGGTTAATGACTTGGTCTTTGAGTTTCTTTGGCTCTATACCCCTTACCATCTCCCAGCATCATTTACTACCAGTACATTCCATCTCCTGAGAACTCCATCCCTCACAAGAGTCCTACTTCCATCTCTTACTAGAGGAGAGAAGGCAGGCAGCTCATAGCAGAGTACATGTAGACGTGAAAGACTGTCTCCAACCTACAACTTGCCATTCAACTCTGGGTCCCTTTGAAAACCTTTAACCTGTCACAAAGAGTAACATAAATATCACTTTGATAAAATTGTTATTTTTTTCTGGTGAAGACAAGAGTTTGATCACTGTCTATATCTGTCTTAGTAGTCATTCATTAAAAAATACTCTTATTTTGACCACTCCATATCTTGAAAACTTCCCAGTGCTTTTTCAAAAGAAAACATAAGTTCTACTTTCCAATCCTAATCATTCGTTTATGTTAAATAGACATTTTATGAGTACCTATTATAGATGCGTAAAAATGAATAAAACATTTTTCCTCCCCTTAAGGAGTTTTTAGGTTTGGGAGAAGACAAAAATGCAATGAATCATTACAAGAGCAATAACTATTATAGTATTGAATGTATGTACAGAACATGGGAGAAAGGAGCAATCAATTAGAATTGCCTGATACATAGAAGATTACAGAGAAATGGCATTTGTACCAGCTAATGGAGGGTGAGTCCTGTTCTTTTAATTTTTTTCTAGTTTTTCCTACTCCTTTAGTCATAATAATAAATGTGACCAAAAGCAAGATGTTGGCATTTATATACAGAGATGATTACATGTGTTCTCTTTTCCAATAATAGCTCCAGGTCTCTTCTAACCCCAGATGTTCACTGGTCTCATGTTTGACCCAAAGGTACAACTTTGTACTGTGGCTGGTGTAGTCTGTGGCCAGTAAAATAAATAAATAAATAATAAACAAACAAATAACATTTGTAACCTTAGATTTCTTTTTTTTGACCCAGAGGTTCTCATAAATGACATACACAAAAATGCTATTTCCCTTTGAGGTGCACTTTCATTGGTGGAACCAAGATTCTGTACAGATGCTGGCCTGATAGTGATAGCTATCACTACACTAATTTTGTGTTCCTTTAAAAGGGCATATTGTAATACAAGTGAATGACTGTGGGTGACAAGGATATCTGCTCTAAGTTATAGAAAAAGTAGCCATTTTTCATGCCTGAAGAATGGCATCTTATTATTATTAAATTACGTCTTACATACCTTTCAACTGATGAAGATAAATTACTAAGCTACAATACCATGATTTTAAACAATTGTTATATTCAGTAAGTGTACTGGCCTGCCAGAGGATATAAGGCTTTTTAACGATTTTTGAATGTATATTAATCTTTTTAGAAGTAACACAATGTATTGATAAGAACATAACATTTAGACTCAGAGGACTTAAGTCTAGTTCTATGTTCCAAGATACATCAGTTACATGATATTGAAGAACTCACTTAAAAATACTGGACCTCAGTTTAATTATATGTACCATGCAAAGCACTCAACAATTTTGGATTTTTATTATTATAAAAACAGTATCAATGCACAGTGCTTTTTTTTTTTTTCTGTTTTGCTCTTATTGCTTTCATTTTCTTTCCTGAATAGAGCTAACCCCACAGTACTTTTACAACTTGCTTTTTCTAATTCATCATGAGTTTCTCTGGTGAATTGGGAATTTTACAATTGTGTAGATAGGATACAGTATATGATCAGGAGACTGCTGAATTGTCTAGAGAATTTCACAGTGTTGAGTTACTCATTATTTTAAGAGGAATTTCTATTTTTAAAATCTTATGGGTGTGGTAAGTAAGGAAGAAGGAATAGACCCATTATGATTTCTAAAGAGAAATGGAAAAGGTGGGAAGAGAGAAAGAAGGTGGCATGGAAAATAAAACATCGTAAGACAGTACAAGGAGAATGCTCCAGGGGGGCATACAACTGTGATTAGATGGATCCATGCTGCTCCTATGGAGAAGGGAGACCTTCTGTACTCCAGCTACTGGGGGACTGCTGGAGGCCACCTGTCTTTTAATAATGTTTTAATAACATCTGGACACTGCCGCTACTGGTTTCAAGGAGAGCTGCTCCAAGGACAGCCAGCATAAGGAAAGAGTTTGCAGAGTTTGTGTTTCAGATATACATCAGTGGTTAGTGGTTAGATGAGACTAGATTGTTCATTCTTTCAATAAATATTTCGTTTCTACTATGTGACAGCAATAGCAATAAACATAACACACGAAAATTCCTATTCTCAGGGAGCTTATATTGCAGAGAAATATAAGCCTTTTTTGGGAATGAAATCTTTGCTGGTTTACTGAATTTTTATTTCTTTTCCTTCCCATCCGCTATTGGATTATTTAATTATCAATATAATGACCTCTGGGCATTCTTACTGTATTTCTGTTGATGCAGGTTGCCAGAGGCAGTTTGGTGTAGATGCCGTCCCATCTATCACTAACCAGGTACGTGATTTTACCACAGAATCAGAGTCCAAAGAAACAGATGAGTTCTTTCAGCACATATCTACTTCTCTCTTACCCTCAGTTTAGTGACTTATGCTCTGTCAGAAAAAGGGGAGGAAGTTGTCTCCTCCTGAAAGTAACTTCTGCATAAAAGTTTGCCTCCTTTTGAAGCTTGCTCTCATTTTTTTACAGCATGAATGGTGCTCATAGCTGACATCCATGCTTCTATAGACCCAGAGTCTGTGAAGTCAGACCTTTTTGCATCTGCAATCAGGATGTGTCACCCTGAGAATAATCTGTCTTAACAATGAAACACAAGGCTTTTCACTGTCTCTCAGGGAGAGCTGCCCCACCAAGTTTGGGATCAGGTATTTTGGCTCATGGAAGACAAAGCATTTCCACTTCCATGGTTACAACAAGATTGTATTTGTTCAAATAGGAAAATATCAAATATTCAAAAAGTGAGTGTGGCAGACTCATGTAGATGTCTCCAATATCTATATCCTTTTTAAATTTATTAATAGAACCTCCAAATTACAGCTGCCCAAAACAAAGGCAACATTTTCTAATTTCTCCTGCAGTTTAAAGTGGTTCGGTGATCAAAAAGGCCAAAGAGAGATAAAGTGAACAACTTCTAAATAGTGTTTTGAAAGGAAGGGCATGCTACTTTATACCTCCCTGCAACATCCTCATCCGGAATGAGAACCCAGTGGTCGTTGTACTGAGCCATCTTCAACTGCAGGCAGGCAAGTCCTGGTGGGTGGTAAAGTAAAATTAAAGAAGGATTTTGCATCTCTAGCTCCACTGAGCTGCCACTTCATTCCTGAGCTACCTACCCAAACCTTGATGTCTTTTATAACTGCTGCACTTTAATGGCTTCTTGCTTCAATAGCCTAACATATATCTCAACTAATCTAGAGCTAAATGATGAGGTAATAAATAGACATTAAAATGTTACATTATCAATAACTTTCTTTGACCAGTGCCAGCAATATTATACATGAAAGTATAAGTATATACACATGTATATGTATGTATAGATGACTACCCCATTCTCTGAGAGAATATATATAGAAAGAGAATGGAAGTATTTTAGGGATGACTAATAAGAGAGTATTTTATAAAATTTTCATTTGTTTACTTGTGGTGGCAGGCACCTGTAATCCCAGCTATTCAGAAGGCTGAGACAGGATAATCGCTTGAACCTGGGAGGTGGAGGTTGCCGTGAGCCAAAATTGCACCACTGCACTCTAGCCTGGGCAACAGAGCCAGACTCCATCTAAAAAAGAAAGAAAGACAAAAAAAAAAAAGAAAAGAAAAGAAAAACAAGTTTAAAAAATAATGAAAAAAGATATATCTTGTTATACATTAAGTTCACATAATTTTATAAATTGTTATTTTGGTGTCGGTAATAACTTTGTTATAATTCATGATCTCTAAAAGTCAATGAGGAAGAGAAGACCTGAAAAGTACATAGAAGGTGGTGAAAATTATTGTATTGTAGGTATTCTAATATTGAATTTCCCCATTTCAGATATTTATTTTTTTAGCAATAATAATACAACTATGCTTGTATTTGTTTGCAAAATTCATTTATAAAAACCTTTTTTCTTTGTGAACAAATGGGAAAAATTAAAACCCTAAATATTAACTAAATAATATCTTGATGAAGATTTTAAAACAGTTTGGCTAGCATTTTTTTCTCCTTAGAAGTGATGTTGCTGTGAAATGTGAGGATAACACTTCATGTGTTACTATTTGTTGTGAAGTGGTTTAATAAATGTTTAAACAAGTCATTACCACGTTGACAGCATCTCTTATCATGGAGTTGCAATTTTGAGATTGATTGTCATGCTAGGCTTCCCATCACCTTCCTCTGCCCTGAAAATGTGGGGACACATAAACATGACCCTCAGAGGGTGCGAACAGACTAGATTTGCAGCGAATGTCTGTTGAGTCTTCCTCCCATGTGTTGAAGAAGGAAAAACCATCAGCCCTTCTTTCCACTCTGATGTGGCAGCAGGCAAAGAAAGGAAAACTGTGTTTAATATAGTTCAACTGCTAGGAGAGCACCAGGGTAGCATCTTTGGAGAATAATATGTTTTTGCTTATTTGTAAGTAATCTCAAAAGAAACAGCAAAGAAATTTTTTCTCAACTTGTCTAATACTTTACAAATTTAAACTAGCATGCAAGGCATAAGTACAGTTTAGTCTTCTGGATCTTTAGAGTAAAGGCCACAATCTTGCTTTCATGAATAGGTATAGTAAAATACAATTTGTGCTATGGGCTGAATGTTTGTGCCCTACCCCCTTCTGCCAAACTTATATATTAAAATCCTAACCCCCAACGTGATAGTGTTAGAAGGTGATTAGGTCAAGAGGGCAGAGCCCTAAAGAAGGGGATTAGTGACTTTATGAAAGAGGCCTCTTTCCACCATATGAAAACACAACAAGAAGGTGCCACTTATGAGCCAGGAAACAGGCCCTCACCAAACACTGAATTTACTGGTCCCTTGACCTTGAACTTCCTAGTTTCCAGAACTGTGAGAAATAAATTTCTGTTATTTATAAGCCAACCAGTTGATATATTTTGGTATCAAATGAACCAAGGCAATCTGTGACATTTATTCATTTAATTATAGTTACGAGCTCCTATTATGTGCCAGGTGAATAATGAGCCCAACAGGTATCACTTCTGTCCTCTTCAAACTGAAAGTCACATGGTGGATCTACATTGGCTTTGTTTTCATCTTCCTGTGAAACTCAGGAAAATTACATTCAGCAAAAACATGACTCTATGATCCTCAGGCTGCTCTACCAGGAACTGTTCCCCTTGAGCTTTATCGATGAGACCAAGTATGATCGGAGTATGGTAGATTACCTTCAGTCTTACAATCTTAAAGATGGAAGGTCCCTGAATTTATCTGCTGCAGACTTTTTCTTGATGGAACTCTACCAGGTGGATGGCAATTCAGTTTTATAAGGGTACCCTTCCAGATGTATTTTAAAATTTGTTTATATGATCATACAAGGAAATGAGGTCAGTATATGTTTGATTGTAATAGATCCATGTTTAATCCTAGTGACCACCATTGCTTCATAAAAATGCCAACATGAAACATTTCAACAATATTTTAGGGACTAGTTGGGATTTTGGTATCCACCTTCCTTCCCTATTGAAAATCAGTAAAGTTGCTCATCTCAAGTTTTCTGTCATCTTTCCCATTCTCATCAGGAGCTGTCACTTTCTGGATATATTTTTTGGTGGTCACCACTGAGAGAAAGGGTGAAGGTGGCATCTAGTGAGTAGAGGCCAGAGATAATTCTAAACATTTTACTATGTACAGGATAGACCCCCACAATAAATAATTATTTGGTCAAAAAAATCAGTGTTTAGTGTGAGATAATCTGATTTAAAACAACTCAAATTATTTGTTTTTGTTAAGATATTTTCTTTAAAATCATTTTTTTGTCTCTCCCCTTATACACAATTATACCCAGATAAAATATCAGTTATTGAAGTGTAGTACCCTTTCTTTCTTCACTGATTTATTTTTTACTAAACATTTAATGTGTGTCTGTACTAAGTACTCTAAGAAACACAGTGACAATAAGTCTTTGTCTCTGGCTTCATCATCAAAAATGTATCTGTGAATTAAAATAATCACAGTTTAAGGTTAAAAACTGGTTAATCATGCAAGAGCAGACAGAAAGTACCAGAGGAAGTCAGAAAGATTTGATTATATCTGGCTGGAGCAATACAGAAAATACAATGGAGGAGAGAGCATCAGAGCTGGGTCCTGCAATTTGTACATGCTGAGGTTAGGGGACAGTCAGGAAGTGAGAAAGGAAGAAAGGTATATAGAGCTAGCTGGGGCAGGCAGGGGCAGGCTTATGGGACAGTCAGTGGTGGCCAAGCTTGACTTGAGGGTGAATGCATAAAGGTCAATACAGAGAGATGTAGTTGGGAAAAGTCTTCGTTTCCTTACCCAGCTTTTAACAGCAAAGGCCAAATTATTTCTTTATTATTCTGAAAATGTGCATGTCAGAATCACTATAACAGTTTTTAAAAATTATGTCAAATTTTCATATTGTACATTAAACAAACTAGATTTTTTTATAGCAATCTAAGCTTGTTTGATGCTGTCCTAAGTTTCCATGTGTTTTTACTGCTTTTCCATCAGCTCAGGTTTTTCATAATCAGCAATCAATAAGCAGAAGCTGTTTTTTATTCATTCTTGTGCCTGAAAATTCACCTTGAATATGCACATTCTCACAGCTTCAAGGGTCATAATAACCCAAAAATACATCATTTAGAAGACAGCTCAGTGATTCACTCCCCAGTTTAGAGTGATAATAAATTCTAGCCTGAAACAATAGCATTGATACAGAACATCTTTGGAAAGATCTATAAAAATGTGGCATTGCATGCAGGGGCAATATCTATAAATAGTAGTGATTCGGGAAGGTCATCATATTTTCCTGAGGGCTTGACTTAAACTGCTGATTCTTGGGCCTCTGTCTATATTGAATATACTGAATCAGGATGGAGAAGAAAACAGCACAAAATTTCATTTTTCTCTTTTCACAAATGCGTCAGGTGATACTTGTGAAACTAAGGTTTAAGAACTATTGTAGAAGATAGAAGACTCAGACTGCAGTTAATCATGTTGCAAATGTGATAGTCAACAAGTGTAAGAAACGAACTGGGCTCCAGATACGTGGCTTTGTGGGGATGAGTGAGGTCTAGGAGAATGGATTGAATTATGGTACACAAAAAAGACGAAGATGGGAGAAAATACAGAGAATGGAAGTTAAAATATTTGTTTGTTTGTGATTAGCATTACTGAGAGGGAATTCCTGTATTTAAAAAAAAATACATCTATTTATTCTGTTGTAAAAGTAGAGACTTAAAGAAGGCATAGAAGTATGCTTCATTGTTCGTTACCAATCAGTTTTTGGGATTTACCTGCACATGATTATAAAAATATGTTGTTGTTTTTGGATTCTGATCAAAAGGAAAGTTGGGGGCATATATGTCACTCCTTTCCCTTTTGCTGAGCTAGTAAAAATATTATAAAATTATATTAGTTTTCAATTGAGGTTCCATCTACCTTTGTTTTCTAATTACATCGATCATTAAGGTTATAGTAACTTGAATGATTGTTTTTATTTTTCCTATTCTTATTCTCTTATTCATAAGTTTCATAAAGTCCCTACCTTGTTTTATGAAGTGCTTAGGTATTATATTCATGTTTTGATTGTCTTTTAAAGCATAATTGTACTAGGTATGCCTCCAAGGCCATCAACTCTAAAGAAGACTATGTTCATGCTCTGCCTATAACGTAGAGGTGAGTTCTATAATAAAAATAAAAATTTTTTGACAATGAGAATGTCCCTCTGTATACTTGATTGGAAGGATCAAATTTACCTGCAGTCTGCTGTGGCCTTTATCATAACTTTATTACTCTTTAGCACATGTATTTTCCTCTGTAAAATCAGAATGCTGATGTCACACCACCATGCATTGTGATGATTATATGCAATCATTATGTAAAGCACTTAGCCTGAGAGGTTTCCAATAAATATGACTCCTCTTTTATTACCTCATTTATGTAGTAGAATTGATTAAAACGACTTCTGGCTTCCTCCTACCTAGTGCAAATTGAGAGTAGAAATTACTTTGACTTAATGTGGAAGATTGGAATACTTTTTATGATATTCAGTGCTTCTCTCTGTGGACCTCCTTCTGCAGAGGAGGCTTATATATCTCTGCAGTTCTCCACTTAGGCACTGCCATGTGACTAGCATTAGCTAATGAAATGTGAGTGGAAATGATGAGTCATTTTCTAGCAGAGGTGCTTAGAGCCAGTGCATGATTCACAGTGTTCTCTTTTTCTCTTTGCTACCAAGAGAGACAATGCTTCGTAGAAGCCCCATAAAGAGGCGACTCCATCAGCCTCCATACCGGGGAGAACGCTGTCTGAATCTGGAGCTGGGATAAAGCTGGCCCACAGTGAACACAAGCCATGAATGAGAAAGAAATATTTGTTCGAAACCACAAAGATTCTGTGGTTATTTT